TGTATATATATATATATTTGTGAGCATGGACATTTGTGAGCATCTGAGCATATCGTGAACAATCTGAAAATAGTCATCTGGGAAGTAGAATGAAGTCCATCTGACAGCAACACATGAAAATACACTAGCTTCTACAGCCTAGCTCCAAAAGTTTTTCTGAATTGACAGCACAAATGGGGCAGCAGACGATGCATTATTTAACAAGAGGAGCGCCATAAACCATTAGCTCTAAAAAGCAAGAGGAAAACAGAGCGACTTGTGCTGACTCATGCATTTACCCTGTGCTTTTTGGACTTTTTGCTGCTCTCATCGTCTGAATGACGGTGCCTCTTCTCTTTGTGCTTCTTCCCCAGGTGCTGATGGTTTGTTGTCTCTCCTTCCTCCTCAATCAGCAGGTCATACTTGGAACTTTTTGGGAAAGTTATGGAAATCTCCAAGAAGAGGAACACAGACGCTGGTACACATGGTGCATAATGATGACTAATTACACGCCCCACAGGAATACACAAGGATACTCGTGTTTAGGCTTGACTTGATCCTTTAGAGCCAGTTTTGACCTGTTCTCCACGTCTTTCTCATAGTCTTTGAAGTCGTCCTTAGTGTACTTCCCACCTAGGATGCAGAGGACGAGAGGGAAAGAAACTTTAATGCAGCATCTTTCAATGAAATCAAGGAAATTGACTGGGGACAGAACATCAGAGAGGTTTAGGATATCTTACCTTTCCCCTTCCATTTGATCTTTGAGACTGACTGGCTGAAGTCTACATGAATGCGTCGGTCATCGATGAGCACGTTGTCCATTTTGAAATAAGCCTTCTCACAGTCTTCTTGCTGTTGAGACAATATGTTTTGGAAATAAGGAGAGAGATATATTACATTATGTCCCTGATATCCGACACCTTTATCTGTGGACCTGAAGGCATCTTAGGCTTTAAAAACATGTTCTGGATTCGGTCAGATGTCTTTGTTCACCCGTGCACACGTAATGGTGCAAAAGGTGTTCCTCACTGTCTGGTAGAGGTGGGGAATTTAAACATTTATTCCAGGTAAGCTAAAGTAAAAAAACCTCTGGCAAATTCCACAACATCCAACTTTCCAAATTCGAATAGTTTTGTTGGCCAGCTGGCCAACAGTTGACCGAGTCTGCTGGTATTACATCACACTTTGGGTCTATTTACTCAACTTTCACTTTTATCTTAATCCCATTGATGATAAAGATGTTAGAAAATAGCTAACACACTTTATGACTCCATTCCATTTTAAAAAAAGGACGATTTTACAGTGATAGCTCACTTTTAGCAGTGGCGCTCTTTTGAAAGGCATGAATAACTCATAGGGAAATGTTTGTGAGGTCAGTGAGTTGTTAAAGTACTGGTTTTGAATTTTTGTTCTAAAGAAATGATGAGGCAACACTGTCATTACTGCGGCCTCTTTCCGGTGCTCTCCTTTACTGCACTGAACAGCCAATCAGGGAGCTCTGTCACCGACTAATCATCAGCTTGTAAAGAGACCCTTATCAATCCTGATTTTAACATGGCTGGGCTAATTTTGGCTTAATACCTAATGTGTATTTGAGTACAAGCAGAGATCAAAGACTGTACTGCCATGCATACCAACACAAAAGATTCTCACCTTTTCAAACTCAATAAAAGCATAGCAAAGGGAATCCCCACTTTTCCAGTCTCTGATGATCTCACAGCTGTGGGGAGTGGAGACAAGAGACACATTTGTGGAAAATAATTCATTTTCATTATTCATTTCAAACACTATAAGGGATCTGGACAGCAGCATCACCTTTTTATGCTCCCGAAGCGGGAGAAGATGACTTCCAGGTCCTCGTCGGTGGTTACTGGGTTCAGCTTGCACACAAACAGGACGTTCTCTGGAGGCCTCACCTCTGCGTCGGGGAGATCTCCCACCTGGAGGGGGGGGCAGCAGACGGTACATCCCCCATGCGGACACGATTGGTCGGTGTCTGACCGAGGGTAGTGCTGTGACTCACCATCTCCAGGAGGATGGCCTGGGTTTTGGCTTCTTTCTCCTTCAGTCTCTCCTCCAGTTCCTCTGCGGCTTTTCCCTCCGTGTCATCTATGTCTTCGTCTGCTCCAATACGGCCACTCTGGAGACCCATGGAAGAACGTTTATGGATACGTCAGGCACTGTTTTTTATTAGATACTCAGCTTAGTGTTCCTTAAAATGTTCTGAGACTCTATGGCCCTGATGCTGTACTGACATCCAGCTGCTCTTTGGTGGGCTCAGGTGATCGATCTGGCACGGGCAGGCCGGCAGGGTCATCAAAGGGGTCCTCCAGGATCACCGTGTGGTTTATCCTGCAACAAAACGACAATTCCTCGGTGGGATTAACATATGTGCATGTTGAGATTTCTTCAAAGGTGACAACACCCCACTGTGATCGATAAAAAAAGAAAAGGCACATCTCCTTTGTGGCGTAATAACCTAACTGCTGTGTGAAAATGACTTGCTTTATAAGAAATTCAAATTGCTTTTTTCTTTTTTGGACCCTTGAATGCAGAGACGGAGTCCCAGGTATTTGGAAGTTGAGATTTGGTATAGCTCTGACTCACCTGATATCCTGAAAGGGGATGAAATCCTTGTCAACGAAGGCCTCATTTATTTTGGTCAAGACCTCCATCCCTTCTGTGACTTCTCCAAACACAGTGTGTACTCCATCTAAGTAGTTCAGGTTCTCCCCAGCGGTAATGAGGAACTGCGAAGAACAAAACAAATATGGTAAATCTGTCTAGTCAATCATCTGAGATCATGTTTTCCTCATGCGCTATGATAATAACACCAGACTTTTCATAACTTCAAATGTTTTTCTAAGCGTTTTTCCATAACCGGTGGCTTCCTAAAGTCCTTCCTCTGGAGGTTTAATCCAGAAAACAACATTCTGAATGTCTGTCTGCCTCACCTGAGATCCATGCTGATCAGTTCCATTGTTCACCATGGACACGGTCCCCCTCTTCCTGTGCTTAATGCGAGGCGTCTTCTCTGCATCGAAAAAACGAGCCTGGTCTCCGTACAGTTTGCTGACATCACAAAGAAGAGTCTAGCTGTGACCGAGTTCAACTCACAATGGTAAAAACGGCAAGAACTAGGAGCGAAATGGCTGACCTATAGATAGATTCTCCTCCACGACCCGTTCCAGTGGGATCTCCAGTCTGCACAATGAAATCTCTCTGAAAGTGAGATAAATGTGGAATTAAAGGTATTCAGCAGGGACATACATCATTCATCAGTGTGCAAATGGAATAACAGTACATGCAGTGTTTTATATTTATTAATTTATTTATATTACACATCTATTTTTTTATCGATATTTATTTTTCAATTTATTTTGTAACACCATAACTATACAGGGAGATAAAAAAACACTAAAGTTTAGACACTTTCGTGTCTAAAAAAACACTAATGAAATGCACCCCACAGCCAATCCAAGGAAATAGTCCCACATTAAAAGAAAAGATCTACAGTCACGTTGTATTTTTACGCTTTAAGAGACTAATATTTATAAAGTAACTCTGATTAACATACTGAAACCTCAACTTCATATTTAGAAAAGGAACTGGAGTTCTCAGTATGAGCTGCAAACGGGATCTTTCTCCATAGCGCCCCCATCAAGCCAGTCACAATTATTTCGTAAACCGTTTGAACAAATACGAATTTAACTCAAACATTTGCTTTAGAAGGACTTTACCTGCACATTGTGGATGAGGCAGTAGTTGTAATATTTTATCTTGCATAATTTCAGAAAGTTTAGGCAAGCTGTGAAAGAGCAAAGATAGGTGGTTACCCCAAAAGCACAACAACACTACAACTTAACCCATTCTTTTCAATAATTATCTCATTTTAGGCGTTAGGACATTTGCGTTAGCTTATTCTAGTGTTTAAATGACAGTAACTGTAGCAAGAAAAGGCTCGATAAACAACTGAATAGGTAATAAGCTAACAGCGCGAGCTAACTGCACAACATTCGTAAACTCAGCCCAAAATTGGAATAATTAAATATTAATGTCTCAAAGAAAACAGCAGCTGTAATGTGGTGTACTAAGTCTCACTTTTAGGCCTTTCCTCCGTAAACAAATCAATCACAATATCACCAAGAGTGGTTTCAAGGAGCACCGCCATGCTGACGTCCGAGATTCTCGCGAGATTACCGTTACTCAGCTCCAAGCGCATGCGCAGCCAGTACGTATTTACCCTGTTGTTGGAACGATCTTGATGCTTTTAAGAGAATTCGGACCAAATAGAAATGACAGGACCAGTAGATTGTGTTATACTTCTTCTTTTAGTCTCTGTGACTCATGCGGAGTTGCCTGTCAAGCAGCTGAACACGGTAAGGTCCAAACACGGCGTTATGTTGATATTAGCCTAGCATTAGCTTTCTGACCGTTAACTTGTGCAAAACAATCAGGCAGGAATTGCACTCGATTGTGGTTTCTCATCTTTTTTATGACACTGATTGACTCCGACAGGAAAATATCCTAATAAACGTGACAGCAGGGACGCTGACGGATACCCAACTTCAAGATCCTAACAACTTGCAGGTAAACAGATGTAAATGTAAAATGACTGGACAGGCTACCTACATCTTTCTCCATCCTTGATGTGGTTCTTCCCTTTGCAGATCAATCTGAACATATCGGTGGGCGAAGAGCAGATTCTGGTGAATGACATTCCTGTGGAGCTGTCTGGAGTCACCAGGTTCAACTGCCAGGCTCTTCTCTGTGAGTTTAAGCACTTACTATCACAAATATTAAGCATTGATATACGTAAGAAGATAGCCCATCACTTATTTCTATCATATAGGTAGCTATTTCCCCACTAAAAATGCAAATTGGCATTAAGAGCCTGTATCCCTGTCTATTATTATGGAAAGAGGCTTTAGCAATACCAAATGTGTATTGTTCAGATCTCCCCCTGACACTTTTAAATCAGATCCCTGACTTAAATGTTGAATCCATAATCAGAATTTGCACTAAATGAGTTATGCTCTTTTTTTGGTGGATTTATTCTTTATTGTATACAACTTTTTCTGACTCCAGTTGTGAAATGCTGTTTGTTTTGTTGTTTATTTCCAGTGGACAGCATCAATGGAAGCAGCAAGTTTGAATCCGGGGACCTGGTGTCCACTGTCACCCGGGTGATGGTCAGCCAAAATCGGCTGTACAGCGACTCGGAGGAGGTGGTCGCCCTGCAGGTGTTCAGCGAAGTAATCGAAATGGAAGGGAAAGAGGTGAACCCCCTTCTCCTGCTTGTTAGATCTTGTGATATATACTCAATCCACAGTGTGCGTGCAACACTTTTTAGCTACCTGGGTCAATATATTTGGCACACGTGTGATTGTAGAGTTGGAATGGTGACTATAGCTGCTCCCAACCTTTTCTAACTGGTTGATGAAAGTGCAAATATTCAACTGATGGTTCCAAACGTTTATTAAAGGATTTGCCGTCACGCAAACGCCCGAGACCACCGTGAACACTGCAAAATACGCGGCGGAAAATATTCATCAATAAAACCGTCATGTTACCTTACATGAATTATCAAATGAAACTTATTAAACAAAATATAAATTCTTTAAATTGTCCATACCGTATGCCCCTCCAACCAGAAGGTTAGGAGTTGCTAGAAGTCCATTTCTTCCATTTTTCAGTCCTTTGCCTTTTTTCTTGCACACGCAGACTAATTATAAACAAACTCAGAACTTCCTATCAAAGGCATCACGTGATCAAGTGAAGAGCCAATCGGTGACGTCTCCATATGACATTGTTACAGTATTTTTCCCAAAGTATGTACATATTAATTTAAAAATACACAAATATATGAAATAAATATTAAAAGTAAAACATATTCATATTCACAACATAAAATAAATTCACACAGAAAAAATGCTTATGTAACCGCGTTAGCTACAGTGACTGTGAGCTAAACAGCATCCAGCACTTCCATGCTAAGCTGCGGTGACCCTGTTGCTATGCCCCGTTGCCATGACGTTGTCATGCAGGTCCAGCAACCGGAGATGTGTGAGGTGAAAATCCTGATGAGCCCGGACTTTCAGAAGCTGGCCCAGTTCACCAACGTCTACCCCATCGGGCACAGCGAGATCTTCAGGGTTCCCAGAGAAAACGACGTGCTTGTGACCGATCCACCAAACTCTAGAGGAGGTTTGTTCGCTGTTTTTGGTAGAAGAAGAAAAACTACCTGAACCAGGACAAAGTTTAGTTTTTAAACTTA